TATGCCTAAATAAACTATGTGTTTTAAAGTAAGTTACCTTAATTAGGCAGCTAAATTGTATAAAACTAAGTATTAATCTAAGAAAATATAGCCTACCTCCCTCCTTAAAGAGGAGTCACAAATATGACTCTTGGAATAGCCATAAGGCAGTCAGGGGAGGGAACTAATTTCAGCCTTGAGTGAAGATCAGGTCCTCAGGAAATTTGGAGATGATTAAGGGATGTTTATGGCTCAAGCTGAGCTTCTGCCAGATTACTTTCTTTTTTTTTTTTTAAAGATGACCGGTAAGGGGATCTCAACCCTTGACTTGGTGTTGTCAGCACCACGCTCACATACATGGGTGTCTATACATGGTAGAACGAATACCGGCTATTTACTGGGGATCCAGGTTTTTTTTTAAAAAAAAGATGACCGGTAAGGGGATCTTAACCCTTGACTTGGTGTTGTCAGCAACACTCTCCCAAGTGAGCTAACCGGCCATCCCTATACAAGGATCCAAACCCGTGGCTTTGGAGTTTTCAGCACCACACTCTCCCGAGTGAGCCACGGGCCGGTCCTCTGCCAGATTACTTTCAATTATACATTTATGCTTTCAAGAAATATTTATTGAGCAGATAAAGGAATTTATAGTCTAGTGAGGACAAACAGTTGATTACAATGTGATATAATAGATGATATGAGAGAAGTATACATAGGCACAGCCAGGTGAGGAACCTAACCCAGAGGGTGGAGTAGAGAGGAAAGCAATGTTAGAGAAGGTTTCATGGAAGATGTGACCCATATACTTAATCCTTGAGTACAAGGAGGAGTTGGGGAAGGAAGAGCACTGGTTCTTCTAAACAGAGAACAATATGTGCAAAGACCAATATGCAAAAATGATGCATTGAGAGCACTTAAAATACTTCAGGATAGGGCCGGCCCGTGGCTCACTCGGTAGAGTGCGGTGCTGATAACACCAAGGCCCCGGGTTCGGATCCTATATAGGGATGGCCGGTTTGCTCACTGGCTGAGCGTGGTGCTGACAACACCAAGCCAAGGGTTGAGATTCCCTTACCGGTCATCTTTAAAAAAAAAAAAAAAAAAAAAAACTTCAGGATAGCTGCAGCATAGTGTTCTATGGGGAGAAGGCTAGAGAGGAAACTAGTAAGCAACTGCTTGGTTTGAGTGCTATACTAAGCCATTTGGACTCAATTCTAAAGGCTGGGAGGAACATTTGAACAATTTTTAAGCACAGGGGAAGAGAGTTATACAATTACACTTGAGCTTAAAGATCATCATGACTATCATGGACAAAATGGAATTGGAGGACCTCTACTGACAGTATGGTGGTCAGATATTAAGTATTGAATAAGTTTAATTTTAAATGTATCGTTGAGCCTTGGAAAATAGAGGTAATATTCAAGGGTGCCCCAAAAAACACCAAAATTAAAATCTAAGAGGTGAGCAATAAATAAACATGAAAACCAGATTTCCCTTAGGTAGATTAACAAATCAATCCAGATATCAGGAATTGGGTGGTCAAGAATAAATCTTGGAGTTGAAGTAGTGAGGAAACTAGGTTTAAATGTGGTTCCAGTTGTGTGGCACTCTTCTAATCCCCCATACTTGCTCTCAGCAGAAACAAATGCAGATCTTCTTTCTGGAGGAAGATATCCTCAAATTAAGCTTCCAGAATCTCACAGATTCACAATAAATCAAATATGGACCTCTTAATCAAAGACCATCAAACATACAAAGACCTTGAGAATCAGTACAAATAACAAACAATAGGTCCCAGATATTAAAATAATCAGACAGAATAAAATATCTATGACATTTTTAAATAAATAAAAGAATCACCAAATGAACAGCAAAAAGAAATTATTACAAGTAACCAGGCAAATGTGAAAGATAACTAATAGAACTTTTACAAATGAAAAATTGTTGAAACCAAAATGAAGAGAGAATTAATAAATTGGAAACCAGATTTAAAATAACTCTCCAGAAAACAATACAGAGAACAAGCAAATGGAAAATATAAAAGAAATATTAAAAGACATGGAGGTTAAAATAAGAAAAATGAAGTCTCAGAAGGAAAGAATAAAAAAAATAGAGAGCCAAAATATTTAGAAGTAAGAGCTGAGAATCTTTGAGAACTGAGAAATGAACACAAATTTACAGGAAGCACAACATATGTCAAACAGGATAAATAAATTCACACACAGTTATGTTGTCAAACCGCAAAACAACAAGAGAGAAGATCTTGAAGGACCAGAAAAAAAACATACGTCACCTACAAAGAAACCACAATCAATGATAAATTTCTCGTTGCAACAATGGAAGCTAGAAGAGGAAGGCATAATATCTTCAATGTGATAAGAGGAAACTATCAACCTAGAATTTTATGTCCAGAGAAACTATCTTTCTTTGGATCCCCATTCTGGCCAGCCCCCCCCCCCCCAAAAAAAGAAAAAGAAATTATCTTTCAAAAATGATGTTAAGTAGGCTGGCTGGTTAGAGCATAGGTTTATAACCCTAAGGTCACAGGTTCAGATCCTGTGCTGGCCATCTGCCAAAAAAAAATGATGGTGAAATAAAGACATACCAGATAAAATAGAGTTTGCCTTCAGCCATCTTTCACTTAAGGAAATTCTACTTTAGGAAGAAGGAAAATGGTACCAGAAAGGAGGTCTCAGATGCACAAAGGGGAATGGTGAGCAAAGTTTTGGTAAGCATCTGAGTAAATCTAAACAAGTGCTACCTATATAAAAATTAATGATGATTATGTTGATATCTCATTTGTGAGGTAAAAAAAAAAAAGGACAATTAGGAGGGGGGTTAAAATATTGATTTTTAATTTAGATTTTATGTTAAATTGTTATGCATGTTAAAATTTTAAGGATAATTTCTAATAGAAAAGAGTGCGTGGGCCGAGCCTGTGGCGCACTCGGGAGAGTGCGGCGCTGGGAGCACAGCAGCGCTCCCACCGCGGGTTCGGATCCTATATAGTGATGGCCGGTGCGCTCACTGGTTGAGCGCGGTGCGGCCGTTCTCAAAAAGGACAAAAAAAGAAGAAAAAAAAAAGAGTGCATTACTTCCAAGCCAGTAAGGAGGAAAAATGGAATTAAAATTTTTTAAAATAGGCCGGCTGGTGGCGCACTGCTACAGTGCGTCGCTTGGGAGCGCGGCGGTGCTCCCGCCAAGGGTTCGGATCCCACATACAGACCG